TTAAAAATAATACTCCTAGGATATTGAATTATTTTGGAGTAACAAGTTAGATAAGGAATGAACAATAACTTTAAATCTGTTTAGTAAATTTCTGAAAGTTTGAAATAGAGTCGATAGACTACTTTGAATAAATATCTCGCTTGAAATTAAGGAAAAGGTTCTCCGAAAATGATGAATTATTTTGGAATAAGAAGTAAAAAAATAAAGGATAAGTTTAAGTCTATTTAGCAAATTCCTAAAAGTTTGGGACGGTTATATTGGTTTTAGATTAGTTTGGTCGGTACAACTGGCTTGAGATAGATTCGACTGCAGAGTTCGACGTCCTTCGCGCAATGTATGCACCTCTCTTATTTAATCAACGTTCGAAAGCATCCGATTTCATTTCCTATGGAATATGAATCCGACAGGAGATTTCGATCAGAACCTAAGGAATCATATCCCTGCCACGATTCGGTAATTAATCAAAAACCAGCACCGCGAAGGGATACATGAACCGTAAGTGTAGCAATTCTCGTCAGTTGCTAGTTAGAAAGGTGGTATCGTGTTGTATATGTGTCTACGCGCATAATGTCTACTTATTCTGCTTCCCAGCACAGATTTCTCAATACGAAGTGACATAGGTGCAAAATGCTGCGTGAATATCCCAGTTTGGTTCACTTTCTTTTCCATCAGCTGCTCGCCGCCGTTATGACGCACGAAAGTGTCGAAGTAAGGGAAGTTTTACAGAGAAACACATGTTTGAATGAAAATTATTATTTCGTTATACGAATAAAATATAATACCTTCAATTTTACTTTAAGCCAGCGCTGTTACTATTTGTGCAGAAATAATGCGAATTCTTTCACTGTGAAATAGAGAGCAAAATAAATACGCTATCATTTTCCTAACCTAATGTAACAGAATATTGTAATTAAAAAAGTTCTTACAACATGGACTAATAGAAATATAATTAATGAAGTTTGCTTCAAATTGTGTAGAGGTATAAGTAGAACATATAAATAGGAATTTACTCAAACGTAACTACCTACACGCCATTCGATTGCTATTGATCTACATATGCATATCGATAAGCTCGCATAAAGACTCCGACGGCATGATTGAAAACGGTAACATTAAACAAATCGCGGTTACTTCAAATATTTCTGGGGCATGGCCTTGTGAGAACGAAGTGTTCTTTCCAAGTTTTGTCCGTTCACTGGATAAATGAAAGGTACTTTTCAATTTTACGTAGTTGCGACAAGCTTCTCCAAATTGCAATCCGCACGATAAGCATCCAATTTAGGTCCCTTTCCCTCTATTTTTCTGTGTTCGAAATGTCGGACCACCTTAGCTCCAAGTGATGCAAAAGTTTTCGTTTAAAGTAATGCAAACGATATACGTAATCGAAATAAAGAAATAAGGGGATCGCGATTATGGCAAACAAGTTAAAAACGAAGTTTCACAAATGAAATGCACCGTTGGCAATTCTGCCGATGCTTATCGTTGTCAGATTATCTATCATCGATTCACATTAATATTGCGATGGAAATATAAAATTAGAAACCTTATACAATCATATAAACTCTTTACCGGAAACCAATGCAATCGGACGATGACTTGGAAAGTCAATGAAACCCGACGATCCACGACGGTTCGTGCATTCTTACTCCTCATTATTATGACTAATTGACTACTCTCTCATCATTTAGGAACCTCAGGATCGAGTCGTAATCGACGGGAAATAACACCATGGTTCTTTCAAAATCTCTTTTAATAAGAAACCACCAAGGACGAGGATGTGATTTCCCTCGAAAAGAAAGCACCGTTTTATTGCTGGAATTCTGCCCGCGGTTGGAGCGGTTTCTAAAACGTTCGATTGAACCGAAATTCGTTTAATCCTCGCTTACTTTCTTCGATACATTAACATGCCAAGCTAACGTTGCAGTGCACTCAAATTGCAAACATAATGCTTCACTCAAACACGGTGTTTCGCCATCAAACATAAGAGATTAAATATTTTTTAACTACAATTAAAAAAATGATAAATTATTCTCATTTCTTATTCATTATTATTATCTGAATGTTGACTTTGATACCGTCCATGTTCGTCATTTGTCTGCATCGATGTGCCAATAACAATGCATTATCGATGATTGTGTAAACTGTTCAATTGCAAAAACGCTATCGATCTCGAAGTAGCATGTGACTCACTTTGCTCTCGCAATAAATAATCAAGCAGTATGATAATTATGTGTTAAACGGAAATTCTGAGTGTCAATTAACTCGACCTTCATTACTCAATTGCATTAATAAATCTCAGTGGTTCACGAGCAACGGCTAGCTGGAGAACATCAATAGAAACGGTACGAATCTAATTTTCTGGAATAATCCTAATAATGAAATTATTCCGCGAAGCCTAACAGGTCTTCCTCGATTTTACGCGACAAAAAAAAAGGAAAGAGAAATGTCAATGTCCATTTCTTCGTCGTTATTCTGCATTCCGGGTCTGCCATTTTCGTACCGTGAAATCGATTTGATAGACTAAATGCAAACCAAGCAGACAGTAACGACAACCATAAAAGTAAGGATTGAACCTTTCGATTTGGTCACGCTTCGATTATCGTTAATTATACAAACGATTTAATCCCGCGATTGCCGATGCTGTAATTTTCTTAATGCAACATGAAAGATTTGTGTAGGTATACTACCAAGGGCCATGTTACTAAACTAATATGCTTAATCAAGGAAAGATATTTTTCTTCTTATTTGTTATATCTTTTACAAAATATTTTCTATTGGAAAAACCAAAAATATTAAAATAGCATTTTTGTATAGAAAAATCGATCGTTTATAGATTTTTGCTACAAAAGGAAAAATTTCGTAAATGTAAAACAAATTTTTGGCGAACATTGTAACGCTTTAGTTTGTTTCCAGCGAATCTTACGAAAACATTCATTAGATTTGTGTTAAGTAGATGTTTGAAGGTTTTATGCAGAATTGTTCACACGTGTTGAAACTCATTAGTTAGTTTCACACACACAACAATAACACTGTCTTCTTTCCCATTTAATTCCCACAACGGATTTCACTAATGTCGAGTATAATTATTACGTTGCGAAGCCAGAGAAAGTTTACACAATCTTGATACTCTGATATCACGGTGCATAATTATTACAGATTCAGATCACGCAGAATATTTACAAGTATAATTGTAAATCAAACAAAAGTCTGTTTGGGAAGTAAATGTCAAGGTCGAAAATGGAGGGAGAAAGTAGCAAAATTTCGATATATAATAAATACAAATTTTGTATTTGTAATAAGCTAATTATGTGATCGATATGATTTTACATACTTACATACATACATATTTACCCTTGTTTTTGTATTTAATTAAATTGTAAACTAATAAATTACAGTTTGCGATTTATCAATATGGCTACGACTATACGTTCAATTTAACGTTAAACAAAATCGTGATTCAGAAAGATAATTCCATTACTAAGTTTTAATTATCAATACTATCGTTCACTATATATTTTTTAAAGAAACAAGAGAGAATGGAACGGAACTTTGCTTTCACATTTTCTTATTGCTAATACTAATCTATAATCCAAACATGCATGTGCATTGTGATTAATTATATGATAACGAATTTGTTTTTCGAACGAACATTTCCGAATCAAGAGAGAGCTTTCTGTTCAATAATGCCTTCGTTAATGCAACTTTTTAAGATAACATGGTGTTCATAAATAATTAAAAATTTCCAAATTCCATTGATTCTCTAATTCGCGACAGTTAAAGCGTCGCTGTGTAAGAAAAATGGCTCCTTCTATTTCGCCAGGAAAGTAACGGACTGCATATTTGTATAAGCCGAAACGCGAAAGTGAACCAAGTTGTTCAGGAAGCAAGTTTCTAATACGAATGCAATGCCCGTACGCACCAGTTTATCTAGCGAATCAAGGAAAGTTGTGCTGGCTGCTCTTAATTTTAAGGAGTACAGTCCACAATGGCTCGATATATTTTCCTCACTCCGAAAACTCTACTTAATCCAAATAAACCTATAGTTATCCTATGTAATATTATTTTCACTCCGTTACAGAAACGCTTCCGTAAATACGATGCAAGAATAATTTCTCCTTGCACAATTACCTTTCAGATTGGAAAACTCCCAGATTCCATTAATGTCACTCGTAAATTAAACCACTCAAAATATAAAACAACTACAGAGTATGTAAGAAAATAAATGTTTATTAGAATAATCATTCCGAGTTTAAAGATTCCTGCAATCAATAATAATCGTATAAATTACTTTATCGTTACTGTAAAATAAGTACAAAGTAATAATATCTCGGAAAATAAATGTTTATTAGAGTAATTGCTGTCGTACGATTTATGAAAATTTCGGAAACACGAACTCTGTAAGACTTATTCGTAACAGAAGTCACGAAGTTTAAAGAGAAAAGTGATCCTTCGAAATGGTCCGTTATCCAAAATGGATTTCGTCCACCTATTAACACGTTCGCAATTCTTCAACCTGCATAGCTCGCTTGCAATTAAAAGCAACAATTGCCGCAAAATCAGATTAACCTGGAAACCGAATCAAAGCTAATTGAATGCAATTGTCTACTTCTTAAAAGAAGATCAGTCGGTGTTGCTCTAAATAAATGGCATTGTTCTTCTATCCTCTATCTTGGACATGTGAACGTGTTAATGGTCACAACACCGCGGTTGTCGAGCAGCAGATCGTTAATCCTCCGATCTATCCGAACGGTCGTAAGGTCACACGCGATTCAAATGGTCGCAGCACACACGTACACCCGGTGTGGCGATCGTTCGATTTTCGGTCGAATTTCTCGAACGGTTTGCACAGAAGAAAAGAACGAACATGCGGATAATCACAAGTCGGTAGGATGGAACACAAAAATTATTCGTCCTTGTTCCATGAAGAGTCTGATGATTTTTTGTGTGTGTGACTGTGTGTTTGTTTGCGCGTTTGTGTATATGTGTAGCGCACTACTCACCTGCGAAGATAAGGAGCCGCATGGTGAACAAATGAGTGACGAAGCGACGAGTGAATGTTCGGAAGAAGTGGATTCCTGGTCGCTTTATAGACGAAGGGGAAAGGCCGCGCCCGAACAGTCCAGGTGGGGTTGTTAACCACTTTTCCACAACGAACTGTTTCCAAGTGAGCATCGCCGGGCACACGAAATATGTACTGAAAACAAAGACATTAATGCACCACGGTGCTGCAACACGCGTTATTCGATGTACTATTGAATTACAATCGGAGGATTGTCGCAGCGATCCTGCACGGTGAATATCGTTCAAGTATCTGGAGCACCTTTTCCTATTCGAATCCTTGCTGATCTATTATACTGTTTTCTAGAGAATGTACAGGTTCTAGCGGGAAAATAATGTTATTATACAACATCTTTGAAGAATATCGTCTTAGCATTCGGAGCACACTTTCTTACACGAATCTTTGCTGCTTTACTATACTATTTTCTGGAGAATGTACAAGTTCTAATGGGAAAATAATGGACATTAGAGCACTTAGGAACATTGTTTAAATATTTGGTACGACTTCTCCTATTCGAATCCTTGTTATTTTATTATACTATTTTTCTAGAGTCTAGATAATGTGTAGATTATATTATGGAGACGTAATTTTGTTGTAGGATACTGAATCTTTTATGAATGTCTATTTTTACTAATCGAATCGATTGTGTGATCACACTGTGATTTTCATTCTGATTGTTACGTCAGTTTTTAGGAAATATCGAGATATATACCATCGTGGAAAAATAATTATAAAATCGAACATTGAATTTTGTAGAAAGTAAATTACAGTGTTGCCAATATTTGCTATCGGCCATTCGGATTTCTGGTCCGTGTTATTCGATTCCATAGTATTAGATTACTTTTTTTAACACTAACTACCGCGTCACACGTACGTACGTACATGGGTGAGAGAATTATTTGCTCAGAAAATTATATTCTACTAATTTTATTAGGAGCCGCGGAACGTAAAAATATTGAAAAAGTAACTAATATCATAAAACTTGACTTTTCAATTTTAATTTGTTTAAAGAAAATGTACTTTAATTTTATGAAATCTGTATGTGTTAAGAATGTATTTCTACTGCTTTTGTCAATATTAATCAGTGAGAATATTTTTAAAGAAATATTGTACGAAGAGAATTAGTACATTGAATATTTTAGGAAGCAAAGTGCTTTCACTATTTCTTGATGATCGCCGATATGCCCAGACTCTTAATCTTGAATTGAAAATGAGATTCTATAGAATTCAGAACAATATGAAGAGATTGAGAATACTGGAGGATGTTTATGTAAATTGAAGAGTTCATAAGCGGATTTAAAGAAACTGGAACTAGAGTTTTCTCTTCCTTGTTAAAGATCTTCATCGAGTGAAAGTGAAGCAATAGATGTATTATATTGTATAGCGATTTCTCGATCGTTGAATTGTGAACATATTAATGCGCTGTGAATGCGTAAAGAAGGTTTGTTTTGGAGACCTACGTAGAATGTACCAATGAAAGATGAAGAGCTTCGACACGTTTACAATTTCGCGGACTAGTTAGTAAAAACTAGAATTGTTTGTAGAAATATTTGTTTTGTATCGCTATAAGTAAATTAGTTCAGCAAGACATATCTTCTTACACAGAACTGTTGCATTATCTATTACATTCTATCGAAACGCTATCGACGCGTGTTATAGTCAAAATAAGGTAAGAAATTAGACATACACCGTTCAATCCTCTTCTTTCTTGCCTTATTAACCCATTCATGCTGTAAATCGCACGCAGACCGTTGTCCGCTGATAAAGGTGTACACTCACTTCAGATAGATTGAGCAATCGTGCTGCTCAAAATACAGGATGTAAAATAGTGACATAAAACGAGTCGGTCACGGATACCGGCGCGTTGATTTTACCGTTTGATAAGTCACATTTTTCCAGCCGACTGGTAGATAGAACAGTAATTTCTATGAAACATAAAAGGACTTTCAACAATAAAATTGTTCCTTTTTCCTAATAAATTTTACAATCCCAATCGTGAGGTATTAAAAGATATAAAGTGACCGGAGAGATGCAGAAAAAGCACTCGTCATTAAACGAATTGCTTTCCGTTGAAATATTAGTATGCATATAAAGCGTGACTTAACCACAGAATTTAACTATCTGAAATAATATAGTACTTGTACCTAATAAAAATTAATTTAACGAACGCAATCGTTAGAGAGACTGTTTGATACGCGCCAAATGAAATTGAAAACAGCATGCAGTTGCTATTGGAAATTATCGTATAGTAACAACTATCCGATGTTTTTATAAAGCCGTTGTCAAAACCAACACAAGCACGTATCTAATACCACGAGGCGCATACGTACTTACGTAGCAGCAAAGTCGATCGAAAGGAAAGCACGACACTCTGTCCGCTTAGGTGAACGCTGTACGGTGAATGTATTATAAGAAATTCGAGAGGAAACTACCGGGTCACTAACAGTTGGACCACCATTTGGAAATACAGCGAAACAAAGATAAAATAGAAGGAATAAATATGTCTAACCGTATCAATAGAAACGCCTCGTGTAGTAGAAACCATTTTGCACGATGACGTGCAACGATAAATATTGTCGTACGTAATGATAAAAACCCACGTCTTACACGAGTCTCACGAAAGCCTAAGTCTCAATTATAAGATCAAATCTTTATGGAAAACAAAAATTTCCAAATACTCGAACGACAGTTTTCTATAATCAATCTTTATATTACAAACAAGTAAAAATCTATACGTTATAAGAGTATACAATTCTTATGAAATCATTCTGAATTTTTCTAATATTATGAAATTCTAATTTTATGAAATACTGAAACAATATTTCTTGTGTTCTTCATCTTGGTATACAGCTTTTATATGAGTTTTGCAAAATGTATCCTGCTATACGGTTACATTCCGCAGGTAAAATACAGGCGTTACGAACGGTATTAAATTATTTGATTAGTACACGCGATAAAAGTTCGCGGTTCATGTACCGAAACCGCGGATATCGAAGTTCCGTGGTCGCACGGAAAAAAAACAAAGAGCTATTAATAATTGATTCGGCGAAAGTCAAGAACAATCTCATAAAGATTATGTCACGGGTGAACTTGCGCATGTTTTTCTTCCCATAAGATATCGGATGAAGAGTGCGCGACCATAAAACGGCCAGCAAATAATCGTAATAATTGTTGAACCAACTTGGATGACGATATCGTCCGATCGGTTGAATTTCTATCGATTAAACGAGAGACCGGCTCTCGAACTTCTCCAGCAGACAAATGCCTCGGCGTGTCGCGATAAAGGCCGATTTACCGTCGGTTTAATCACACACAGGGAGATCCTATGCGTTTGATTTTCAAACTGGATCAGTGCCGACGTTTTACGATTGCAACAGACAATCGCCCTCGCAATGAGAATTTCTCATAGCAGGCCGTATGTTAAGTTTGGCCGTGTACGTGCACGCTCGTGTGACTAAGTGCGCACGGCAGACTGTAATATAAACGCGGTTATGCACCTATAAGCCGCCGTGGGAAAGGTAATCGGTCAGAAGAAAAGCAGACTGCTATATAGAGGTGTGCACGGCGTACGTGTGTGTATACGGGGCGGCACTCGCTTTCAATCTCCTGTTATATGATCTAAATAATTTCGCACCGGAAGCTCCTACACTTTTTTCAGGATTCCCCATCGATGACATAACTCGCACCTCGATTCCCGACAGAGTCGACATGTTCCTCCTCCGATCGTACATACAGTTAGCCTATTTAGATCGGGACATGTTAACGAGAGAGAGATACAGGCGTGATTTACTACTTTCATAACCCTGGCACACGGTTTTTCCAGATTTTTTCGATCCAATTATATGTCTTGGGTTTTCCCAATGCACACGAGACTGAGAAGCTGTTTAGGTCTACACCTAGCGGGTGTAATACTTATGTAATTATGCTTGTATTGTACGGTAATCAAGTACTTGTTTTACTCTCTTATTAGTCCCCTTCCCGTGTGTTAACGAGTCGGACTCGTGACGAGGATTTTTTTCTTCCTTTTAAGTCGAAATAAACCTCTATTCCTTTTTTGTCGATATTGGTGAATTAACGTAATTGAACATCTACAATAAATATACATACATCTCCGTTTTCCGACGATGTGCGAGGGTTAATTCAGGGGGATGAAGAACATCATTTTCTAGATATACTGAGAGTTTGTCATTTTTATTACGAAAGATGCTGAATTGGTCTGATTTATCGCCAATAACAACAATACTTGCACCGTTCCGTTTAGAAACAAATACTGAATTTTAAAATGTAAAAAGATCCATAAGCAAAATAAAATAATTCTGTTTCCAGAATTTATCCAAATTCAAATAAAGGATAATTTTCCAAAAGAATATATACGAAATTTTATATTTTGTATAAAAATGTATTATTTGCTTTTCCAGAAGGGCTTATTGTATCTTCCCGTTTTGTAGAAATTCATCTAAATGTGCTTAGACGACAACACGAAATAAATTCATTGTTTTTGATAATATATATATTTATATTATTTAAATATATAATTCATTGTGATCTGCAGTTTTCAAACGATATTGACGGTCATTGTAGCTAAAGGTGTGTAATTGTAGGTGTACGATAAACAGATCGAAACTGTATAAAATACGCATGTAATTACATTCGTATTATTATCTAACAGGCTGTAACTATCATGTAACTTTTTTGTGAGCATTGCAGACAAGGGCGTTTATGTTGGAACTGAAAGCTACACTCACAGAAGATAATGCAAGGTAACTGTTACTTTTACTTCATACCAATTCGCAGTGGCACACGTATCCGGGGGAATTGATTATTTGATTCGAAAAACTGATAGTTATTGAAAGAAGCGAAGGAATGTCTCTTTACCTAACTCTTCTAGGAAACAGTTGTTTCTTCATCAAACCTAAATTCGATAAATAATTGTGCAAAGCTTGCTTATTTAAGACTTATTTAATTTAGTATTTACACGCAAACAAAATATATTAACTATTATAAAAACTATATGATGACTAATGAATTAATATTAAAATAGAGATATATAAAAGTGAAAAACTAGAAAATAAAGAAAATTAATAAAAAAGAGAAACTATATATGTTTACAATCTTATTTAAGTGAACAACATTTTATATACACAAATTCAAAACTCCTTGATAACTATACAAAGTAAATATAAAATTTGCTTGAAGTTCATAAAAACATTTCGGCCATGAAATTGTATGTATTTGTTAGATGCTATCTTTTATTATGTTACATTCCATACATGCATACATGCATGCCATCCATACATGCCGCGGAATTGAATTTAAAATTCAAATTTGAAAGAAGTGGCAACGCTATCTGTATGTGACACATTAATTTGAGGATAGAAACATACAAAATTTTCATAGAGGTTTCGTTTCTATAAAAATACTCTATGTTGACCATAAAAAGATGGTGCTACAATCGGTCTTAGGTCGGTAATGTAGGTGTCTTCTATCACGAGAATTCGTGAGGTAGTCGCTCTATTGTACTGAATTGCCTATGCCATTAGACACTCGAATATCAAATCGGTTGGACAACTTTTATCACTGTAGTTTAGGCTCAAAATTTACAACAAATCACATATCTATTATACTAGTTATGTATGGGTTGGATGTTGAGTACATACCGATTATTATTAAATTCGATATTGTTATTACTTAATATTTTATAAAAAAAAGTTCAGAAACATGGCATGTATTGTTTTAAAATGTTTGTTACAAGACAAAAGTAGTGCTTTTACAAACGTTATACTTTCCATGATAGCACTTTTCTCTGAATCAGGCTTTAATATAAAATTATCTTCGTTTACATGAAATGCATTATGTACATGAAATGTAATTATCATGATTAAAAAATCAAATTATTAGTGTGATCGGAAACATAGATTTTGTTACGTTTGCATTCATTACCTGTCTACAATGTAAACGATATCAAACAAAACTAAGGGAATGCTGCTTTTTTCACTTTCATAGCTGTACAGTGGTCACAGCTTCGCCAAAATAAGCCCATGCGGGGACAACCGGCTTAGAATTATGAAGCAAGTAGAGAAACTGCTTCTCTTCTGATTGTTAAACGCTTCACAGCTAAACAATGCTGCCATCACAGTTTTAGGCAAAGAGAGGAAGTAGCGAGTGAGCAAGAGAGAGCAAAACATCAACACAACCACAGAAAAGTCAAGTCGAATATCACGCCGGCTGTTTCAGATGGAGCATCAAGCAACGGATGCGCGAATAGAGTAAGATCGCAAGCATGGTAAAGTGAGACAAGCTACATTGGTCATCGGTGTGACTTGTTTCATTTGTGTGGTGCTCATTTCGTGCTCTCTTGCTCACTCGCCACTTCCTTTCTTTGTCTAAAACTGTGAGGGCAGCACTATTTAGCTGTGAAGCGTCAACCAATCAGAGAAAAGCATTTTCTGTTCATTGCCTCAAATTTCTGAGCGCTTTGCCCCAACATCGCATACTGTAGTCAGTCAGTACTAGTCTTTCCGCCATTACGGTATGTCGTACATACATATTGTGATATGCATCGATGATTACGAAGTATCAAAAATACGTTAATAGGAAAATGTGAAGGCAGTGAGGACGCATTGCATTCTGTATCTTTCTACTATTTACGTTTTGTTAAGTTTAACAAGTATAATATGTGTTACAATCAAAATGACTTGTACGTCTTGAGATTGAAGTGTTGAAGGGAGTTAAATAGTGTAATAAGAATGTGTGTGTCTTAGATTAATAAGCTGAAGAACTGTAAACCCTTTGTATAATTCTTTTTTCATTGGTAAGTAAAATAAATACTTTACATCTAATAATTTGTGCATATTGTGTAATTAAAGAAATTTTAAAAAATATTATTACACAACATCTAAGAGCAGGTATGTATTTGATTTGTAAACAATATAATCAAATAAAATGTTCTACCATTTGTTATAGTTGAAAATGTCAACAGAATATAGTAGAAGTGTTTTAAAAATGGTTGTCGCTCAAATTTGTCAAACAATCGGGTGGCATTCAATTAATTCAACACCACTAGAATTTATGGTTGATCTGATGCAGGAGTACATTTTGCGAATAGCAAAATTATCACACCAGTACACAGAAATTTGTAAGTGTGCAGTACTTCAACTGAAATAGTAGAAGACTTTCATATAAATGTGTTTTAATTTTTCATTATTCTGATAATTTTAATATTGTTTCAGTGGGAAGAACAGAACCAAATCTCAATGATTTAGGATTAGCTTTTCAACATATGAATATTGATATACAGGAATTATCAGATTACATCAAGAATGTGGATCCAGTTCCTTATCCTATAGCAGTACCTAAATTTCCAATTCGACGTGAAAATCATTTAAATTTTCTAAAACCAGGCAGTCGAGAAGTTGTAACCAGGCCAATGCATGTTCATGAACATTTACCAGCTATGTATCCTGATACTGAAGGTACAATAATATAATTCTTATAAATCAATCTGTTTTCAAAAGTACTATCGATGTGTTTAGATTTTTTAAAAGATATTGTTAATTTGAAATTGTAAAAAATTCTGCTTCTACATTAAAATTACATTATTAATGTAAATCGTTATGTTACAGAAGATTACATAGCAGACAAATCTGAATCCTTACTAAATGGATCATCTGATTTATCATCAACTAATGGAACATCAACGAATAGTTCTATGAATGTGTCGCCTCATAGAATGTCTCCACAAGTAGTGTTTAAGCGCCCAGGTGATCCTGTATCATTTGAAAGTCCAATAGTAAAACGTGTAAAGGTAGTAGAAGAAGGCAGACCATTGCGTGAAATCCATAGTGTAATGATGACCACCTCAGGTTTTTTATCACCTGCTCGGGAAGGAAAACTACCTGAAGCAAGAACACCTCATCAGACTCGTCCAGATTCACCTCAATCTAGTTCTTATCCAATGGTACCACCTGAATTGAAGTATGACAAAAAGCCGAAGAAGATTATAAAGAAAGGGTTGGAAGATGGTAAGCTTGATAAGGAGAATAAGAAGAAGAATCGTGCTAAAGAATTATTCAAACCAAATAAGGTGGATGATAACAAAACTAAGAAGTTAGTTGGTATGAAAGAGTTAGCTAAATTAAAACCTTTAAAGCCGGGAGGTGGAAAATCGCAAGGTACTGCACAGAGTTCATCGAGCAGACCTTCAACTCCCAAATTAATGTCACCTAAAGCAGCTGGCAGTCCAAAATTAACAAAAAAAGTAGAACCTAAGGTTAAACCAGAGAAAGTAATAGATATTCCTGCTGGGCCACCTGCGATAGAAAGGAAAGAGGACAATATTGATAAGCTACCATCAGAACCTGATAAGCAGAAATTGAATATTTTCAAAAAGATTTCAAAACCACGAGAAGATAAAGAAAAGGATACATCAGAGCAACACAAATACAAAGAACTCGACTCGAGAGAAAGTTCTCCAGGTTTGATAATTGATGAAAACAATGATAAGCAAGCGCTTCGCAATGATACTGAAGTAAAGCATGAAGAAAAGAAGGCCCCACATACGCCAGATGTACATATTCAACCCGATGGAGGGGAAATAATTGATTTGCCCAGCCCAGGATCAGATGTTTATATGTTTGATGACATGTCTCCACCAGGAACACCTAGCACGCCTAGAACACCAGAACTGAACATGCCTCCAACTCCTACTGATCATAAAAAGAAAAGGAAAGAAAAGATCAGCAAGAAGAAGGAACTGAAATCGAGAAGTCCAAAACACTGTACCAGTCCGAAAAAGGTAAGTTATAATTTGTTTATTTCCAGATATATATATATATATCAGCAGTTCCACAAGTGGATCGCTGAAGATTACTAAAACAATTCTTGCATTTCAGACAAAGCTTTCTAACGACTTGGTAGAGGTGGATATATTAGAACGACCAAAAACCCCACAAGCACCGGAACCTCCACTTTCCAAAGAACCAAGTTTTCCACCTACACTTCCATTTCCCTTTTTATCCGCGTTTCCTCCAGCTCCGGGTTTAATACCACATCCTATGTTCTCCAGATTTCCATTGCCTTTAGGTAGGGGTGGACCTGGGCCACATCCAGCAATGCCAAATTTACCTTTACCGCCTCGTTTTTTAAATTTACCTGTGAAATCCGAAGACTTTCCTAGCGTATCGAAAAATAGACTTGTGGACCGAGATAAACCGGTGACACCTTCGGTAAATGAACCAGTACCTCCTGTTACGAAACATGAAAAATTGGAGAAGGAAAAGGAGGAAAAACCGAAGATAATTAAACAGGATAAAGAAGTACTCACACCGGCACCTACGAATTCTATTGTAATGCCTTTAGCATCGGCACTTGCAACACCAGTTACATATCCTACACCAATCCCGGTTCCTGTACCACTACCCTCGAAAAGTACAAAATTGGAGAAATTAGAAAAGAATGAAAAAGTAATCTTAATATGTTTTCCTATATACCTAATGTTTTATGTAACTAAAAAAAGGAAAATATTTAATAGAAATTATAATTTTAGAAATCGAAGGAACATAAAAAGGAAAAGAAGGACAAAATAAAAAAGAAGAAAGATAAAAAAGAGAAACATAAAGAAAAAACAGAGAAAGTAAAAGAGAAAAAAGAAAAAATTGAGAAAAAGGAAAAGATCGAGAAAGTTAAAGAGAAAAAGGAGAAGAAAGATAAACGGAAAGAAAAAGAGGTATAATCAAAAATCATCATTGTTTCTATAAATTTGCATGAGAATCCAAATTTTTAATTTAGTTCTAATTTAAATTTATATCTTGATAATTGCAGAAAGAAGATAAAAATTCGGAAGCTGTGCCTAAAATAACATTAAAATTAGGAACAGCTTCTCCAAGACCACCAACTCCAGATGCTGCACCTATGAAAAAAATGTAAGTTTGTTTTATTTTATTTTTATTAATTAAATTTTATTATGTGAACATTATATTATTTTACAAATCATATCAATATTAAACTGCGAATATTTATCTAATTTCACGCTTTTATAAAATCTAGTTTTGATTTCCTGCATGTAATAATATTTGTAGATAAAAAATAGCGAGAAGCTATATGAAATACTATTCGACCTTCCAACGTTCTCCGTAAATTTTTATCTATTACAAATGTATAAAGATCCGCAGTCTGGCTATTATATTAACGCTGTTTAATTTAGTTCTTTATTTGCTTGTTAAAAATATATCAATTATGATTTATTTTCTTAATAATTTGAGTTACTATATCTAATGAAATAATTCAACATAAAATAAACAATGCGTTAATATATTGTACCACGTATAATAACACATACATTATTATTAGGGAAATGTGTTATAGAACAATAAAAACATTACTGAAGAAACCAGAGGACGAGACGAAACGTGAACCAAGTCCAGAATTGGCGAAAATATCAGCATTAGTAACGCGACCGCCAAAGCAAAAGTCGGCAAGTAAGAAAACAGAGGAGGGAATATTAGATGGAAGCCCTGCTCTTCCTACAGATACTTTCTCTGCCAATCTTACTAGTGTGCCACTCGCAACAGTTCCTCGAGCAAAGAAATCTCTCTTCAAAGCCTTACCTCAGAGAGAAACCCTTCCATCTCAATTTGATCCTCCTACTAAGATCCCACCTCCTCCGCAACAACAACCACCGTATTATTTTGTAAGTACGTTTTATATATTTCAAATTGAACAAAAGAATTACATTATCAAATGCATAAAATTGAAGGACACGAAATTCATTTTTAAGATATAGTATATTAGAAATCTGGGAGTGTCACCACTTAATTATTT